GCCAGTCAGAGAAAGACAAATACTGTATGATTTCACTCATATGTTGAACAAACTGAACTAACAAGCAGAATAGAGACAGACTCATAGATAGCAGAATGACAGCTAAGCAGAGGGGTGGGGGGAGGGATGAAGGAAAAAGGACTCATGGACATGGACAACAGTCTGGTGATTGCCGTGGGGGGGAGAGGGGTATAATGAGACTAAATGGTAATGAAAACAAAAATTATTTTAAAGAAAAGAAATTTAAAAATTAATTATTTCTACATTATTAGCCACAGTTTGTAAAACAGAATTTTTCTTAACATCTGAGGCTATCGGTTTGTTCTCCTACAAAGGTCAGATAAATTCTTTAACCAGCTCAGAAGATGATGTAAGTTTTTTTTTCTGGCTCTCTCCTTTTTAATATTATTGTAGACTCATGAATTTTTATTGGATCAGTTAGCATCAGTCTTAATTCTCACAACTTTGACTAGCAAGGAAGGGGATCTTTCAAGCTGATCCCTGTCCTGTGCCTTTTTGCTCTGATACCATGTTTTAAATTATAGAAACATTTAAACATAAAGAAAAGTATAGAGAAAAATACAGTGAACCTCCAAGGTATCTTTCAACTTTATATATTTCCAGTCCTCTTCTATTTGTCCTCTTCTACTTTATCGATCCCCTGGATTATGATCCTATTGATATTTGAAAGTCTTCATTGTTTTCTGTCATGGTAAGGTCCTAGACATGAAATCTTCTATTTCTCTAAGAAGTCCTTATTGCTTTTAGTACGGAATGGCATCGGGTAAAATCAGGACATAAAGGTTATTGAATGTTTTAAATTATGATTTTTCTTTCTATTCCTCTCATGTGCCTCATCATAATGGTACCCTAGTTCTCATGAGCAGAGTTACTCTCATTTGGATCATGGAGAATGGGCACTTCTCAAAGATGGGACAAAAGAACTTCATATTTCTTTTCTTTTTTTTAAGATTCTATTTATCTATCTTTAGAGAGAGGGGAGGGGAGGGAGAAAGAGAGGAAGAGAAACATACACATGTGAGAGACACATCTATCAGTCACCTTGTACACCCCCAACTGGAGACCTGACCCACAACCCAGGCATGTGCCCTGACTAGGAATTGAACCAGCAACCCCCGAGTTGCAGGCTGGCACTCAATTCACTGAGCCACACCAGCCGCGGGGGGGGGACAACAAACTTTATATTTCTATTTTAATTGGTCTACATATTAAGTATAGCTGACAGATGATTCAAATTATGGCAGGTAATTATTTGGGGCTTTTTGAAAAGATTTTATTTATGTATCTTTAGAGAAGGGAAGAGAGGGAGAGAAACATTGATGTGGGAGAGAAACATCAATTGGTAGCACCTCTCATTGAACCTGGACCAGGGACTAAATACGACCCAGGCATGTGCCCTGCCTAGGAACCGAACCAGTGACCTTTTTGCTTTGTGGAATGATACCCAACCAACTGAGCCACACCAGTCAGGGCCAGATAAGTGTTTTTAATAATGGACCTTTTATAAAATAAACACCATTTAGTGTTATCAGTTTACTTGTACTACAATATAAGGAAATTCTCTGAAGATTAGTTTATATCACACTTTGTTTTTTTAGCATTCAACACACTTTCTCATAGTAATAATGTAGATGATAAAATGTTATTGGATTGTAGCTCTTGAAGTCTGTATGATTTCCAAAGTAGATTAAACCCATATCTTTGTTTCCTTTTCCTCCTGATGCCCCACAGAAATAAAATGCATAGAAATAAGAAATGAAGAAGCCAATACCAATAAGTAGGAAGACCACCCAAGAGCGATAATTGAACAGATTTCTGAATCTTTTCCCGAGTACTAGAAGACACCCTCTTCTCACCTCCCCATACCTCTCCCACCCCTGTATTTGGATTACAGATAGTTGGCATGAACCCAGGCAAAACACCAGGCAGATTTTCTGTAGAGAAATTGAGAAAAGCTAAGGCTTCTAGGGTACAAGTTATGTCCCCAGAACAAAAGGAAAAGCCATCTTTATTCTGGCATTTAGAGAGCCTGCTGGCTCCCCTCCTACACAACCTTAAAGGAACACTGTGTACCTAGCCTACACAGAGGCCTCCTCAGGAGAGCAATCTAATAAAAAACAGACCATCTTGACAGTAACAGAAAAAATCTGTGTTGGCTCATGTGTCATTCCGGCCTAAATATGAATGAGTAACCAGAGATTACAAGGCATGGGAGGAAAACTAATGGCATGAAAGACTAAAATAATCAGAAAATATGCCACTAGAGAAACTTGAGTTAACCAGAGAGAACTTTACAAAAAAAGGAACTCTAATAAACTCAGAGCTGCAAAAAGATACAACATCCATTAAACAAGAATGAGAGGACAGAAGTTTTCAGATTGAAAGGATGCACCAGCTACTGAAATAGTGGATCAGATGTCACACTGTAACACATTCTTGTGAAACTGCAGGATTCCTAGGATTAAAGATCTAGAGAAAAGTCATGTACAGAGCAACAAGTATCAGTCTAAAATCAAACCTCTCATCAGTAACCTTGAATGCTACAATACTACCGACAACATTTCAAAAGAAAACACTGCAGCCCAGGGTCCTATATCCTATCAAACTATTAATCAAAGATGAGAGCAGAATAAAGTTGTTTTCAGACAGGCAAGAACTCCAACTTTACCTTCTCTTGGAATTAAATGAATGGATTACATATTCACCATCAGTCTTCTTGAGAAACAAATTTATTGTGTAGTTTTTCATTACACATTTTCATTTTGTGCTTTGATTTTTAAAAAATCTCACTGGTGTTAAAAAGGGATTATTGCAAAGAAATGGGGAAGGTCAGTTACAAACAATAAAATTAGTTGTGCTGCCCTAACCGATGTGACTTGGTTGGGCATCGTCCAGCAAAGCAAAAGGTCGCTGGTTCATTTCCTGGTGAGGGCACATGCCTGGGTTTCAGGTTCCATCTTTGATCAGGGCACATATGAGAGGCAACTACTGATCAATGTTTCTCTCTCACAGCAATGTTTCTCTTTCCCCTCCTTTTCCCTCTCTTTAGAAATAAAATGAATAAAATGTTTTTTTAAGTAGTTGTGAATTTACACCACAAAATAAATTACAGACCTACCATAGCAAACAACAATGAGACTAATTATTCCCTTTACTCTGAGCAGGCTGAGCAGGCTGAAATGGCACGTATAACTAACCCATGATTTTTCATACTTCTCAGTGACCCCAGCAACAGGCAACTGGGACTGCTTATGTGCAATCACAGCTGGCTGGTATACCATGTGGCCAGCAGGGACAACAGTACCAAAATTCTCCCATCTGGACTGGAATGACATGATCAAACTTACATTTAAAAGCATCATTCTGACTGCTGCACTGAAAGTCGACTTGGGGGTAGAATAGCAGTGCAAGGGTAGAAGCACGAGACCAGTTTGGACATCATCACTGTATTCCACGTGAAAGATGACAGTGGCTCTGACGTGGTGGTAATAGAGGTAACAGAAAAGCGATCTGATTCTGAGTATAATGTGAAGGTAGAGCCCATAGGATTTCCTGACTGATTAGACATGAGGTGAGCAAAAAAGAAGTCAAGATTTCTAGTCTGAGCAGTTAGAAATGAGAAACAGATTGAGGAAAAGGATTAGGGGTTAAGTTTGGGGTGTTATATTTCAGAGTCCATTCGATCTCCAAGTAAAGATGTCAGTTACTTGGATTGGCACTTAGAAATATGTGTCTGCAGTTCTAAGGAAAGGTCTGGCTTTGAGGTTGGATTTTGAGGGATGAGGAGATTAAGAAGAGGTCTGTGGACTGGGACCCTATGGCACTCCCATCTTTGAGACCCAGGGAGATGGGAAGGAATGATCAAAGATGACTGAGGAGGCACAGCCAGTGGGGCGTAAGGAGAACCAAGACAGAGTGGTGGCCCGGAAGCCGTGGGAAGAAAGTGTTTCAACAAGGAGTCACCAACTGTTTTATACTGCCAAGAGGACAAATAGGATGAGCGCTGAAAATTCACTGTTGGATTTGGCAGCCTGGATGTCAGTGTTTACCTTAAGAAGACCTGTTTGGTTTTTTTTAACAGCTACTAAGTTGTTAAGACAAAAATATGTATTAAGTTGTTTGGGCCCAACTACTTAATAAATGGAACTATTAGATGTTTCTTTGGGTCTATGGGCTTTGTGAAAAAATTACTAAGGTACAAATGGAGCCACAAACAAAGTTTGGGGATCTCTGCTTTAGAGGGTCATGCCAGCTGAGCATTTTATTGGGTTGGCCAAAAAGTCCATTTAGTTTTTTCCATAAACTGAAAGATGCATTTTTTATTTTTACCAGTAATGTTATCAATTTGGATATTTTGAGTATGCCAGCTTTCTCCCGAGTGGAATAACATTGATTGTTCTCAATTAATGTCTTGGTTTGATCGCTATCAACTTGAACTGGTTACCCAAGAAGTCTCCAGCATGAAACTGCAAACCACTTTTGACATATTCAGTCAGTCACAGCACCTTCTCTGTACACTGTACAAATCTTTTCTTTGTGTTTCAGTTGCATTTTTACCTTTCTTGAAATAATAAAGCACAATGTGCCAAAAATGTTACATATTTTCTTCCAGTTTCAGTGTTAAAAAGCTGCACAAAAATTCACCAATTTTGATAAGCTTTTTTTATAAACACTGATATGACAGCTGTCACAATACAGTCTAACAGAATTATTCTGAATGAAGTTAAAGAGAACTAAGCGCTCCTAGAGCCATCTTAAGAAAAAACTAAATGAACTTTTTGGCCAACCAATAAGAGGGGAAAGTACCTCTTGTCTTTTCTTTGTCTCTGCTGAAAAGTTTGAGTTAGTAATTTTAAATCTGATTAAATTACATGTGATTAATAAAATGTCCCAAATGTGGTTATGCAACATAAAAAAATAAAATCTTGTGAAATGTCCCTAGTACATCTTTGCATGATTTTTTTCTCTTGCCTCCATAGGTATGGTCTGAATATGCGTTGCTTGGCAGCTCGGGTCAACTATAAGACTTTGATTATCATCTGCGCACTCTTCACTTTGGTTACAGTACTTTTGTGGAATAAGTGTTCCAGCGACAAAACGATCCAGTTTCCACGGCACTTGAGTAGTGGCTTCAGAGTGGATGGATTAGAAAAAAGAGCAGCAGCATCTGAGAGTAACAACTATGTGAATCATCTGGCCAAACATTCAGAGGAGGCATTTCCTCCAGAACAGCAGAAAGCACCCCCTGTCGCTGGGGGCTTCAATAGCAATGGGGGAAGCAAGGTGTTAGGGCTCAAGTATGAAGAAATTGACTGTCTCATAAATGACGACCACACAATTAAAGGGAGACGAGAGGGGAATGAAATCTTTCTTCCATTCACTTGGGTAGAGAAATACTTTGATGTGTATGGAAAGGTGGTTCAGTATGATGGCTATGATCGGTTTGAGTTCTCTCACAGCTATTCCAAAGTCTATGCACAGAGAGCCCCTTATCATCCTGATGGTGTGTTTATGTCCTTTGAAGGCTACAATGTGGAAGTTCGAGACAGAGTCAAGTGTATAAGTGGGGTTGAAGGTTAGTATATCTTTGCTCCACTGCATTTTTCTATCCTGATTGTCTTGAGGAACAAGAAACTGTAGGTGTTCGTTATATAGCAAGTACATACGTAGCTTACTATCAAGAGATCATTCATCACTCTGACTTAGCAGGGAGTAACAATTTATTCTGAACCTAGGGCAACTTTCTAGATGATGTTATTTATACCTGATCAAATAGGATTATTCCATTAACCTGCCTCAGAATCTAAAGTTTTCACCGATAAGGCCATGGCACAGGAGCTCCAGAAATTCTGGTTAGAATATGTATTATCCTATGAGAGGAAGATGGAAAGGAGCAAAGACCATTCAATGGACCCATCATTGTCCCAATATAATCTTGTTACCAGATTAACTGGAATCATCTCCTAATGGAGGTTTAAAGTCCTCAGAAGTAGGCAATAGATACCATTTTCTCTCCACTTACTCTGCACTGCTGTAGTCTGTTGCAGATTGTTTTTCAGACTTGGAGCAGTTGCTGTTTCTAATGAGGGCATTAGTACAATTTGAAATTTGTATTTCCGACCTAGGGTTGACCAGAAAGCCACACTGAATTTGACTTTTCACTTACTTATGATTTATTAATGTTAGAAGTTTTCACTTCTATTTACTAAATTTTGGGATTTTTTTAACCTCTTCCTTTTGTGTTTAGTTCCTCTGTACTTTCACTAACAGTTTTATGGGGGTTTTTTTGTTTTGTACATTTAACTTTTAAATCAGCTAAATTGGTTAATGTTTTGGTAAGTGGTAAAAGATTAAGGTCTTACTTTAGGCTTTTTTCCCCTATCATGTTTTGAATAATCTCCTCTTTTCCCCACTAATTCATGATGCAGGCTTTCTCACTATACTAAAATATTTTGAATACTAGAGTATGTTACTGGCCAGCTGTTCCATTGATTGGGGTCTATCGGTTCTTAGACCAATTGTACATTACTGTAAATAGTTATCACCCATCTTTAGTGGGATTGCATAAGCCTTCCTTTTATTACCATAAATGAAAATAATAAAATTTTGAATTTTGAAAAAAATAAACCACCCCTTGGAAAAAAGAATTCAGAAGTTTAAAAGCTTATTTGTAGCCTAGGTTTCTTAGCCTCTTTGGCCCCTAATTTCTTAAACTATGTTGAAACTAGATCATAACACATTCAGTTTTATGGGTTTCCAGTTTCTACTCAGACTGGAACTACATACAGACAGGAGTTTATCTCTTACCACAGAGCACCATGACACAACAGTACAACTATCTGTGCAGTGTGGTACGATTGTATTTCCCATGTAGGGAATCACTAACATAAATACACCAAACGCTTAAAAGATTTTCCTTAGAACTTTACAAGAGGTAATCCATTAATGAATTATTTCAAGACTCTGTGTTTAAACATATAACTTTTATTCATTTAAAAAAAACACTACTTGTTCTCCAGAATTACATTTTGACATGAAGGATATGAAAAAGAGTTGCAAGCTTGTTTACACTTTAAGTTGCCTAATCATAACTGGGTTCTTAAGCAAATGCTTTAACCATCAGATTATACACTTATGAGAATACATCTCGACATTGGAGAGAGAGGAATGTGCAATTTACTTGATTGTTAAGTATAAATGTTTAAGAAAGTTCAGGGTTACTATTCTATAATAAAACTATAGTAACATCTACATGTATTTAAATAGTGCAAAACTTGAGTGTATGAAGCAGGATTATGAAACATGACATCTGTAACTATGAGCAACAGTTACATAAAAATTCAGTCCTTAAAAGATAATCTACAGCATCGAATTGCTGTCTGGCAACAAATAATGAATGAAACGGAATGAACCCTTAATTTTGTTTTTTCATATCTTGTATTTTGGTACTATTTTTAGTTAAATATGAAGACAATATAATAAAGAAGCTCAAATTTTGCTGATAACCTCATAATATCCCCAGAAGTAAAACAGTGAAGAGTGGTGTTCACAACAAATTTATGAGTATCTGGATATAGTTATGTATTTTGTTTCTTTATTTTATAGGTGTACCTTTATCTACACAATGGGGACCTCAAGGCTATTTCTACCCAATCCAAATTGCACAGTATGGGTTAAGTCATTACAGCAAGAATCTAACTGAGAAACCTCCTCACATCGAGGTATACGAAACAGCAGAAGACAGGGACAAAACCAGCAAGCCCAATGACTGGACCGTGCCAAAGGGCTGCTTTGTGGCTAGTGTGGCTGATAAGTCTAGATTCACCAATGTGAAACAGTTCGTTGCTCCAGGTGAGTGACATATTGTGTGTCTGCTAACTTTATGTTGATTTTGGCATCTGAGTCTCTCTTAAAAAAATTTTTTTTTTCAAATACATCAGCAGACCTTTATGTTACATATATAAAGAAACAAATTGTATCACTCAAGTGAAAGAAATCCCTAGTAAAGAAACAGCTAAGCCCTGGCTGGTATAGATCAGTGGATTGAGCACGGGCCTGTGAAGCAAAGGATTGCGGTTCGATTCCCAGTCAGGGCACATGCCTGGGTTGCAGGCCAGTTCCCAGTGGGGGACACATGAGAGGCAACCACACATTGATATTTCTCTCCCTCTCTGCTTCCCTTTCCCTCTCTCTGAAAATAAATAAATAAAATTTTAAAAAAAAAGAAAGAGCTAAAAATTTAAAGTATAAAAGGCATGTTTACTGTGTGAAGAACCAAGCTGCAGACTGCATATTTGGGCCCAGTTACTGCATGGTGTGCATCTCTCTCCAGGGATGTAGAGCCCATGAGAATGAAGTTTCTGTGTTTATTTTAATATTTAAGTGCAGTATTTATTCTTTAATTTTTTAACTATTTTGCATTTATAGAAAGAGGCATCCTTTCCTTTGCCTATTTTTAGCAGTAGTTTTTAATGTTTTTCGAGGTAAGACAGCATTATCGACTAGGCGTGCACCCATATTGAATTTTGTTAATGTACTAGATTGTCTCAAACTTCATATAAAACCATTTCATTGATAAAATCATTTATAAAATCAAATTAACTTTATGCAACATTTCCCCTTTTACTAAGACAGCCTCATTAATTAGGATGTAATGCATTTTTCTCTACTAATCAATATCCATGAGAATTAATAAGTCCCTTACTTAAAAGGACAATGAAATCATTTTAGCTAGCACTTCAGGCTTAAATTCTCTATGGGGAAATGTCATCAAGAACAGAACTCATTCCACCTCCCGCCAACCTTGCAGTTGGTAAATAGAAAAAGAGAAGATTATAAGACTGCTTCTGTATTCTTTCCTTGTCCTTTATTGATGATTGGGTAATTTGCGGACCTTGAAAGCCACAACACAAATCTACTCATTCTGAGTGGCCTTAAGTAATGGATTTATGAGTGCTTAACACAGTGCAAATAATGAGTGACCTTTCATTTCTATTGTGACTAGAACTCCTTTTCTTCTATGGCATTCTGTGCATAGAACATCTTTGCTTGTTGTAGAACAGCAGGTTTGGCTGGGTGAGAAAGTATGTGGAAATATTTAAGAATATTTAGCTTGTGATACCTAAGAGGTTATTATAGCAGGGAATGATTAGAGTAAGCAAAAGGATATTAGGTTTGGTGTGTACCAAAGGCACTTATTTTTTCACTAGTTAATAATGTTGTTAGGATTTGGGTAGAAAACAGCAGCCCTCATGTTGATCTCCTCAAATGCTGGGAGTTTTTCTAGAACAATCTTTTGAACTCTATCCTATTTAGAACAATAGATTTTACAGTGCACTTTCGGATGCCCTGGGTAATACAAAAGATAGGTCCCCTCAACAACTACTTCCTAAGGTGGTTTCAAGCATGTGGAGGAGGGAACTCTGTCCGTGATGGTAACTCTGCCAGTAGGACACAAGCTACACTTGGAATTCCCTGTTGATGGGAGTGTGCTCACTGGGGATGGAGTGCTTGTTTGGATACCCTGGGTATGCCTGCTGTGGCATTCAATACAAGTGTTGGAGGGAGAGTGACTTGGAGTTACATGGGTGCTGTTGCTTAGAGCAGGAGAAAGGCATCCCAGCAGTGAGTCTGTTTTATTAAGGCATTGGTATGGGAGATGAGGCTTTTTAGAAAACATCAACCTCGTAGGGGAGAAATTCAGAGAATCACTGTTGAGAAGAAATCAGGACTTGTATGTAAAAGCATAGGCCTAAGTGAAATGAGGCTCCAGAGAACCAAGGCCTGAGGGCTTTTGGCCTTTTGTTTTTTCTTATTTGCCCTTGATTCCCCCTGCCCCCAAAAGGTACAAAATCATCTAGAGGAAAGAATCATAATATGGATCTACAGCTGTTTTTTTATTGTTTTGCTTATTGGATAATATTTTGTGCCTCTTCTTAATTTTGAAATGGAATAACTGAAACTCCATACCTGTCCTACTCTAATAAATTAAATTAGTTTCTGCCCTGACCAGCATGGCTCAGTTTGTTGAGCATCACCCCACAAAGCAAAAGGTCTCCTGGTCAGGGCACATGCCTGGGTTGTGGGCCAGGGACCCCGGTTGCGGAAAGAGACAACTAACTGATCGATGTTTCTTTCTCACAATGATGTTTCTCTCCCTCTGTTTCTCCCTCCCTTCCCCTCACTCTAAAGTTGAATAAATAAAATCTTTTTTAAAAATTAAATTAGCTTTTTCTTTCCCAAAGCACTCTTTTTACTTCATTTCCATGGCCACACTTTTCTTCTCTCTGTAGCCATTCTTTCTCAGGCTTCTTGTGAGCTTCTCTTCCATCTCGCCCCGATCTCCCAGTGTTTTGAGTAGGGCCTCTTCTCACTCTCATAGTACACCTGTTGATGAAGTGAATGACTCCTAACAGTTTGTGTTTTATGTGAAAACACTGATTGAAAGAGTACTCTTAAATGTTTATCATTCTTTGTTGCCTAAAGTATGTGTACACATATACTAAAAATAGACACTTGTCGTGACTCCTGGGAATAACTGTTCAGAGAGAGAAGAGGTCATGGATTTCAAACAGTTAGGAAACTCAGAGCGTTCTATTAGTAGTTTTAAAGCACTGTGGTTGCTTTAAAACCACCCATAGTCCCATTGCATTTTCTACCATTCAGATCCTTCTGAATGATGTTGACAGGTTATTTAACCTTTCTTCTACATCTATAAAATGTGAGTTAAAGGAACTATCTTACAAAATTGCCATGAAGGTTATGATTGTCAGTAGATTGATTTAAATTGGGGATCGTGACTTCTGTGTCACTTCCCCTGTGTAGCTCAATAATCCCCTCTGATGGTGTGAGGTTTTAGGAAAATTAATAGTAGTTTTTTAAAAGGTTGCATTCCATGACATCATTCCTTACTGAGTCGTTTGAACTAATCTGTTATAGTGAGACATAAGGTGATTGATTGAACTACATCATTTCATTGGATTTGTATACATAAAGTGAAAATCAGAATGGAATTCTGGGAGAAAAATGGGTACTTCTTCAACTTTGTCCCATTTGAACTTCTAAAGATGGGTCATTGTTACCATTTTGGTGAAAATGGACATCATAGTTCATACTCTTGTCTGACTAATGAAGCATTACCCTAGGAAGGAAAAAATAAGTAGCACTCAAAATAGTCTGCTTTGCTGAACATAATTCAGTCTTGAGTGATTCAAAGTCAGCAGAATCCTGTAGTGTTTCAGGGATGTACTGAGCATCAGATTCCATTTTACTATTGATGCAGAAAAATGCTAGTTAAGAGAGAGATTTCATGTTGGTATTTTTTCCAGATTAAGTCGATTTTAACTGTAAAAGTATACTTCTGAAATCACTTTTTAAAAAATCACCCAGAGCATTATTTGATGCATAAGTCTTTGAAAATGTTCTCATTCTTGTTTTTTTTTTTTTTACTTTTCTTTTTTTAAAGATTTTATTTATTTACTTTTAGAGAGGGGAAGGGGGGAAGAAAGAGAAACATCAACGTGTGGTTGCCTCTCACACAGCCCCCACTGGGGACCTGTCCCACAACCCAGGCATGTGCCTTGACTGGGAATTGAACAGGCGACCTGGTTCACAGGCAGGCACGCAGCCATACCAGCCAGGGCAAGATGTTCTCATTCTTAATACAGTTTCCATAATTGTCTCTCAGATGAAGTAATTAAGAGCCTTGGGTCAATTATATCCACACTGGTAAAGTCTAGTGTTAGGAGAGTTAACGATCAACTCAGCATGCTAATACTCTCCAAACTAATCACACTGTCCACATTATCATCAGTTTACATTTCTAGTCTTCGCTCCTGGTCACACACTAAAGATTTCCCCAAGGACTACTCAAAGCAGATCTGACTCTCTGGTTATATATTTAAGAGAAATAACTCTTTCACTGGTTATTCTCATTGAGAATGCCACTTCCAATATCATTTCTTTTTCACAGTCTTTGAATTTGAGTTCAGGAATCCTGGTTTCTAGTCCCTACTCCACCAGTAATTAGCATTTGACTTTGGGCAAACCTTTTAACCTTGCAAAGCCTCTATATTTTCATCCTCGAATGGAAGTGGTAATTCCTGCTCTACCAGCCTTAGTAGATTATTGTAAGGCTTAAATGAGATAATACATGTGAATGTGTTTGAATGTTTAAGCTCTATAAAGATCAAGATATTTATATCTGCCTTTAATATTAAAAATTTGTGTGGCATTTTTTTGGTCATTTCTCTTGCTGCTGCTGCTGCTGCTGCTGCTGCTGCCGCTGCCTGATTCAGTGAGCTCAACCTCTTTGCATGGTAGACCCAGCACAGCAGTGGACGGAAAGTCGTGTTTTGGGGAGCCAGTTGTTGTACTACCGATATTCAAGAGAAGTTTTCTATTTAATAACTTGCCAGATTGAATTGTTTCTACTGTTTTATCATCTTCTGAAGCTTCAGAATAATATTAATAGTCACTATCATTTTTTTGTTATGATCAAAGCCACAATCTTTTTTTTAATTCTCACAATGACCTTGCAGAGTAATATTATCTCTATTTAACATGTGAAGAAACTGAGACTCAAAGAGGCATATTTATTGAACATCTGGAAGCTAGTAAATGGTAGAGTAAGAATTCATACAAGCAGGTTCTTTTTCTTTTAAACTCCACAGTCTGTGCTTCTACTTCCCTCAGTTTCCCTCACTCTTTGTTGACTACATGGACCTGTTCCTTAATTACCAGAAATTTTATTCACAGTTCCAGCAGATATCTGAAAACAAACCTATCGTATTTAATATCAAATAGTGATTGGGAGCATGTATTGTGGAGCCAGACCACCTGGGTTCAGCGAGCTTTGGGCTGTTTTTCTTGTGGTAGAGTGGTGTACTAGAACAGTCACAGATTGTTGGTCGGCCAGCGTTGGACCCGTGAAATGCTGTTCGGTCAGCAGTACCTTGGCCATTTGCTCTTAACCCTCTAATGTAAACTGTGAGGGCCAAAAGGTCAGAATGTTAGTCTGAAGCTCACAAGCCATCATGGCCTCACCTATCATGTGCGGTTAATTTAGTAAAAATAGTAATAAGACCAACAATAATAATGGTGATCTGACACAAAATATTGAAGTGTTACTTTAGTATGATCAGTGGTTGTCAAGGATGAATTGCAGTTTACTTTTAAATCCAAAGAGGTTTTATTCTAATCAGTCTTTGTTGATATATTTTATCCCCTACAGAGACCAGTGAAGGTGTATCTTTGCAACTGGGGAACACAAAAGATTTTATTATTTCATTCGACCTCAAGTTCTTGACAAATGGAAGTGTGTCCGTGGTATTGGAGACTACAGAAAAGAATCAGCTCTTCACCATCCATTATGTCTCCAATACCCAGCTAATTGCTTTTAAAGAAAGAGATATATACTATGGCATTGGGCCCAGAACTTCATGGAGCACGATTACCAGAGACCTGGTCACTGACCTCAGGAAAGGAGTGGGTCTTTCCAACACAAAAGCTGTCAAGCCAACCAAAATAATGCCCAGGAAGGTGGTACGTTTGATTGCAAAAGGGAAAGGATTCCTTGATAACATTACCATCTCTACAACAGCCCACATGGCCGCTTTCTTCGCTGCTAGTGATTGGCTGGTGAGGAACCAGGACGAGAAAGGTGGCTGGCCAATTATGGTAACTCGTAAGTTAGGGGAAGGGTTCAAGTCTTTAGAGCCGGGGTGGTACTCTGCCATGGCCCAAGGGCAAGCCATTTCTACCTTAGTCAGGGCCTATCTTCTAACAAAAGACCATGTATTCCTCAATTCAGCTTTAAGGGCAACAGCCCCTTACAAGTTTCTATCAGAGCAGCATGGAGTTAAAGCTGTGTTTATGAATAAACATGACTGGTATGAAGAGTATCCGACCACACCTAGCTCTTTTGTTTTAAATGGCTTTATGTATTCTTTAATTGGGCTCTATGACTTAAAAGAAACTGCAGGAGAAAAACTCGGGAAAGAAGCGAAGTCCCTGTATGAGCATGGCATGGAGTCCCTGAAAGCCATGCTCCCCTTGTATGACACTGGCTCAGGAACCATCTATGACCTGCGGCACTTCATGCTGGGCATCGCCCCCAACCTGGCCCGCTGGGACTATCACACCACTCACATCAATCAGCTGCAGCTCCTCAGCACCATTGATGAGTCTCCGATCTTCAAAGAGTTTGTCAAGAGGTGGAAAAGCTATCTGAAAGGCAGTAGGGCAAAGCACAACTAGAGCTCACAACCAAAGTCCTATTGCGACCTCTGCTATACACAGAACTATGGGCCCTATCTCAGCAGAGCATAGGCACCTGCTAAAAGGTAGACTAGGCTTTTGTGGATGACGTCAAAGTGATAAATGATCCTTAAAATCAATCTTCTGAGATATCTGCATTCCATGGGTTGGGTGCTTAAAATTGTAGGTGGCATTTAGAGCAGGACAGTGTTTAGTCAGTGGGCTGAACAAAGGTGCTTAGCCTTGCCTTGCTCACACCGGGTACAGTTCTGCAGGTAGCCCGGGCCTCTTGGTTTGGGAAAATGAATGGTAAGTAGCTGTAACTGGCCAACTGTCTATCACTTCCCTGAAAACGTAGTATGGGGTGCTTTTAAAATGTGATTATTTATGTTTATGTTGAAAGCAGACTTTCAAAAATAATGTGCTGTGATACAGTAAATACTTGTAGCCTGAATAGTGGACTGTGTGCAACTTTTTTAAAATGATATTTTTTTCCTATAGATTAACCTCCTGGGGGCAAGTGATCATTTGTTGCATTTGTTCAATTTGTTATATATGGAGAATATTTTGAACTTATGCTTTTATTGTTGTGTAAGTTAAAAACACAGTCGGTGTTCAGGCTTCACAGTTGCGTAATGTAAGCACAACTAAAATGAAACATGTTGACTGCACAAGAATCACAAAAATGTCACCTGTTTTATGAAACTTGATCTACAATCAGAAAAGATTTGATAATCGATCTACCCCTCCCCCGTCCCCATTGCGATGGTTTCTTTTGTCACTATCTAGAATTTTGTATTTCATTTCACACTATACTCAAGAGTTTTTTCTATTTGAAGGGACATTATTTGGGATATTTTATTATAAACTTAGATTTGAGAAGGAGCTAGTAATTTTGATAAGTCCACCACCACTACCCTTTTAGGACTTTTTCCCCCTTGAGGGAAAATACAAGGTCAGATATTATATACAAGAGCCACAGCAGGTTTTTCCTACTTAGGTCCTTCTTGGTCATCAGCTTGTCAAACCATTGGCTCAGTGCATCATTGTTTTTTCTTTTGCAATTTAAATTTTAAATTATTTAAACCATTGGATAGAATTGAAGCTACTGCATTTGTTGTACATGCGTAATCAGACTTTATTTAGCTTTTATATCTCACCGCACCCCACCATACCTGCCGGTTTCTTAGCCCACACACTTTCGACAGTGTCTGCTGTAGAGCTTCAAGCACTAGGTCAGAACCAAGGGAGGTTGATTCTGCTGGCTTTTGTTTTCATGCATGATGACACACTAAATCAGTACTGTAACTCAACCGATCGGGAATGTGAGACCCCGCATTCTCAGGGGTCATGTACAGGCAGTGGCATTTGTCTGTGACCTATATTAAATGCACATCGCAACTCTATTTTGCCCACAATAAAATAGTTGTTGGTTACTAGGTTTCCCCGTAGCTTGTGGCCTTTGAAGCTCTTAAACATTAGCTGTTTCAACAAGAATATCTGGATACCCTCCTTTTTAATTTCAGTGCTCAAAAATAAACTTTCTCCAGTCTGGAACCTTTTTACTTCATCGTATTTGTTATTTTAGAATAGTCTGGCTCCTGCCTTGAGTTTGCATACTGGTATTTCAGATTAAGGGACTCGGTGAAAATGGTATGGTACTGCTTCTGTGACAAATATCAGTGCCTTAACAACATGTCTGTCCTTTCCCAGCGAAAACGGACAGGCGCTCTGACCTAGAAATGGCATTGCTCTCTCACTGCTGTTGGTTTCACACTGCCTTCCACATTGCAACAGCGACTTGATTTTTCTCGAGATCCCGGAATTTTCTAAGAGAAGGGGTTGAACCTGTAGCAGCACCGTCGGTATATACTAGTGGTTCTCAAACTTTAGGACGTCTCAGAACCACCTGAAAACTTGCTGAAATACAGATTCCAGATCCTCAGTAAACCTGCCGGTGAACCATGGTGACCTGAGTTGCTAACAGACATTCAGGTGACTCTGATGCAGGTGGTCCGGGGGTCCACATGCAGGAACACTGCCCAGGAGCATCCGCTGCATTTTTGTTCCTAAACACCTCTGGCTATTTTTGTTCCTAAACACCTCTGGCTTTTTCTAGGGTTTTACAGCATGTAAAATGTTTACTTATTCAGTGCTTACAGCGAATGAGGACGGTGTTTTAAAGTTTTAGTCTGTTTCTTTAAATTTGTCTTTGTGTCAAGATTATGGGTATTATTTTATACTTATCTTGAGTTAGCTTTGATGTTAAGTTAAATCTATTGCCACTTCAGTTTTTAAACTAGCCAAAAGTCTGAGATAAAGGTCAAGACTGACCCTTTAGCAGTTACTGTACATAAAGGCTTCATCCCAAAATTAGCCAGTGTGTGGGAGCAAACACAGAAATGACACACAAGCACAACTCTGCAGGCGTGGCGGTCCTTCTTTGTCAGCGTGCAAACTTCCACTGAAAGCTGCTATTTGCATCCTCCTTGAACTCGTTTTTCTTGTTTTCCTCCATTGTACATGTGGGTTCTATACCATGTGTTAAATATGCAATAAAGTGTTTACTGGATGCCCTTCTGAAGGGTAGTCCTTTGTAAAGCTGTACAGACTTTGCAGTTCAAGCACAATGTGCACATGTTAGTTTTATATACAGCAGAAGTTGATTTTTTGCAGATGGAAAGGTATTTTGTTTCTATACAAAGTAAATGGATTGTTTGTGCTTAATGTAAAGCTGCTTTATAAAATTGTAAAATAAAGTTTTTATCTTAAAAGGAATATGCCTGGATATTTCTCTTTCTTCTCTAATTATTCTAAGATTATTTTATCCCAACAAGCAGATTTCTGACCATCATTTTCTGTTTAGCCCATGGCAACTAGTCAGGCAGCAGTGTTTATTAAAAGGCGTATCAGACCTTCTAAGACAGTATGGGGAGGAGTACATCCCAGGGGCCTTGACCAGGAGGTGTGGTCAGTCAGAGAAGGTGTTGTGCAGGAGATAGAGCCCGGGCAGGGGCTGCAGGCCTGGGTCCAGGTGGAAGAAGAGGGTAAAGTAAGGAGCAGAGCCAGGCTGCGCGCTAGCTGTGAGCACGTCCTTCCCAAGCTAATTCAGGCTGGTAACTATTTATATCTGATTTAGATTGATTGGAAAGTTGGTCCTTTGTTTGTTTTTTCTATAGTGGTCCCTTCTCTAGAACAATAAGCATTATTTAATCTTTTCCCCTGTTGTTAGGGAGTAAAAAGTGATTTGGGCTCCCAAATGCCTATAAAGTCATAGACCAGTCTGGCTTCACATTATGTCTCATTGCACATGGTTTTGGGGGGTTATAAACATGCTGCATTTATATAATGGAATTCCAATTGATCACCAATCAGCTTTTTCCAGTTGATGGGTACACATTTTGATGGGATGGTAGTCCACATTCTTGGCCTCTCTTCCTTCTCTGTCATCCTCAGTTGGGAAACAGCCGTAGGAGGGCAAGCAGTTGCGGTCTGGATGAGGTCTCAGGCTGCTCTTGCTGAGGTTTTGCCATGTGCAGCCAAACGGTTACCACATTAGCCATTCTGCTATAGCACACTGAACACGTATCCGCCTCCCCACTGCCCCTGAGTGGGGACAGACCCTCCACGCCACAGAGCACTTATTCCACAGTCTGGTGAGTTCTTTCCTGAGGACGCCTCCTTCATATCCATAGGGCTCCATCGGCCACTGTGTGCCCTGTGACTCTGCCTCTTCCGGGCATGACTGTCACATCAGGGGTGAGTCCCTGACTCAAACTGGGCCAATGATCTCTTCCCCAGGAAGCCAAAATTGGGACAGATTTAAAAAAAAAAAAAAAACTGGCAATGGGCGAGGACTCACCTGATTGGTGGTGTTGCTCTTATATCAGTCGGGCAAAGCAGTTGCCCAGTCCTTAGTTCATCCTAGCTTGTTGCCTGCATTGGTGGCCAGAGCTGGTTCATGCCTGGGGCACTTAAAAAAAAAATAGAGATACAGAGTATGTCAAAATAGCAAGTTGTTAGATTTGTTTAATGACAATTTTTTAAATCTCAGGTCTGCCTTACTGTAACTTACAAACTATTAATATAGGGATAAAATATTGATTTTTATTTCGCCAACTCATTAAGGAGGTCAAATTGGAAATGGATATGAATTTAGACATCGTATTGGTGATGAAATTGAATGTTTGCTGCTGCTCACTTTCTGATGAAATGAGATTCATTCACCATCTGGTAGGCATGATTGGTAACTTGTGTGTTTGTGCTGCGTCTCCTGAATGCTAAGCAGCAGCAATGCTGTAATTTTGCTCATCCTTTTCCAGGAGTAGAAGGATCTTCTGAAATGACAGGACCACAAAGCAAACCATTGAGGAACAGGAGCAGAGTGAACAACAAAAAGGGAAGGAGAGGCTGTGGGAGGAGTGGAAGTAGAGCAGCCCTTATGTATGTGTATTGGGAATATATTTCCATGTCTAAAACAATTATTATTGAATAAATAAATGAAGTGTGTGTCTCTCCAAAATAGAGAGAGACAGAGAGAAATAGAGCTGCCCCTGGGCTAATGATAAACAGTTTAGAGCTGGTGTTGCTCGGCAGCCCCAAGCTCACTGCATCCAGGCGCCACCCCGAAGAGCCAGTGCCCTCCTGGGATTTTGTGCTGTTCTCATCAGCACCCAGTGAAATCACTGAGATGGAAATGGCTGAACCCTCTCAGCTTAGAAAACCTAGTAAAGAGGGTTAATCTCTGGGTCTAGAGAAAGAGGTAAATCCCTAGGTAGGGGTGGGGGTCTTGGCAAAAGTGCATGATTTTAATTTAATGCCTGTTACTCTGTCTTTTTTAACACCAGCGATATTAACTGCAATTCAATTGAATATAGAGTGGGAGGCCCCAAACACGTTCTCCCATCCCATCACTGACACGCAAGGTAATCAGGACAGCAGGGCAGCTTCCAACTCCTGCAGGTAACCTAGAGAGGCACCAGCTCCATCTGGAGATACCCACTGCAACATTTATCTGGGCAACTTCTTACAAGCACGAGTAAATGTTCAGAGTTCTTAGTGTCTAGGTAGAGCAAACCATGGTCCTGTGCTGGGGCTTCGTTCTTGGGGAACAGGGAGAAGGAACCAGCCCCATGGAAGGAGTTCCCCAAACGGAAAGTCGTTTACGTCTCACCACGACCTGAAGCCCGGCTCTGGAGGCAAGTGAGAAGAGGAAAGACTTAAGGTAACTTGCTGCAGGTCACCCAATTCTTTTCACTAAATACTTACACCTTTCTACCAATCGTGTACCACCTACATACTGAGACAGAAGAGGTGAGAAGACCCCTTTCCTGCCCCAGTCCCGGCCTGGAGGGCTCTTCTCTGGTGGGCACTGGGGAGCCTTTCCTTTCCACAGGCAAAGGCTGAGCAGTGGTGTCATGACAGCTAAAGTGGCCCAGGGCCTGTGGTGAAGCTCTTGCCAAAGGACTCCACGGGCATTCTTTCTAATTCCGAAAATGTCACGTGAACTTGACAGATGAAAAACAAGCTTGGAGATGTTAAAACAACTTTCGGTTTCTGGATAAGCCGAGGTCTGGAAACCAGGTATGTCTGCCCCCAGATGCCATGTTCTAAACATTGACCCCTTTCAATAGTCACGACCCACCATCTGCCTCCACCCCAGGGGTCCCGCAGACTGTGTTCCACCAGGGGCATGGATCTCCACCCAGCGCTCTCCTGCACCCACCAGACAAGAAGATGAGTCCGCTTCACCCATGGACTCTCTATAGCAGATCTGCACAAAGTGGTGCTTGCTCCACTAAACGATGAGCAGAGCCTGGAGACAGGAGGCTTTTCAGCAACCAAGTCTCCTTGGTACGTGCCCCATTGCTTCAGCGTCTCTGCACCATCTGTTTACATTCAGTTTGGGATGACCCAGCATCACAGCCCCTCCAGCGGCCTCTCCAACCCCCTCCTGCTGTTTACCGTCTCCCTAACAGACTCGAAAAACTACATATGTTACAGAGTCACGTGTGCTTGTGTATGTGCAAATGCGCACACACACATATGTAAATGCACAGAAAACATCTGGACGGATTCACAACAAACAGTTACCGGGCACTCTGGTGGGGCTACAAACAGTTACCCAGCCTTCTGCTGGGGCTACAGTGTTGAGTAGGATGGCCCCCGCCCCTCTATGAGTCTTCGAAGTAACAGATTCTAGAGGCACAGTTTTTATTCTTGGCTATGAAAACAAAATATGTTTAAAATATTACCAATTCCCGATTAGAGTTTGAATGAATGGGAGTCTAGAGTCCTTTCATTATTTTAGTTTTTCCTCAGTATGGTCTTAGGGGGCCAGAGGCGCCGGAGTCTCCTTTGAATGGGGGAGCAGAGGCGTGGGGGTGGGTCCAGAGCCAGCGCACCTGTGGCAGAGCCGAACCGAAACCGGGTCTCTGGGCTTGAAGCGCTGCCCTCGCGTCCCGTGCTGGACTGTAGAAAGGAGCTCCCAGGAGGGCGCTGCCCGGAGCGGACCTGAGCAGGGCCTTGTCCTGTCTCCTTTGGCCCTAAGCTTGGCATAAAAAAGGGGGCGCTCCTCTCTTGGTTTTTGTTTCTCTTTGGTTATCCAGCTGTGTCTCATCATATCTGAGCCCTCCTGACAGGGCAGAAGGAAGTGACAGAGAAAACCACCCGGAGGTCTGCCTCCATGTTGCTCAGTCACCATGTTTAAACATAGGTTTTTATCTAATGAAAACACATTTTAGGGGAGAAAATACCCTATCTTCAGAAGCCAATTGCTTCACAAACTTTAAGAAAGATAGTTTTGTTCCCAAGGAAAACCTAAGCTGAGCCTCCGCCCCTGAGTGGCTCCCCAGTCTTCATTTTCATGCCGCCGTGGGGAGGGTGACTGACCGGCGGTTCACTAGCTGTGGGAGGTGCAGTAACTTACTCTTCGCACCTCAGTGACTCCTCTGGCTGTGTGGACATGGGGTTGCAGAGGTGGGAGTGGCAGTGGGGTGAGCGTTGCAGGGGCTCCGGTGAGAGGCAGGATGGAAGTGAGGTGGTGAGATGTGGCTGCAGTGAGGATACGTGGCAGAGCAAGTGGGCTGGCTGTGCAGGGTGAGGGGTGACAAGGGATCGAGTGCAGAAGGGCCGCTGGCTGAGATGGGGGTCTGGATGATCAAACAGGGGTCTTCTAAAGACCTGGGTCCCCTCCTGGGCCTGAGAGCAGAGCCTTTTCCCAGGGTGTTTGAAGGTTTGAGGAGGAAGAGGATTTAGGGTGTGTATGTTAATCACCATTGGGATTTCACTCTTGTCTCTGTGTAATCCTGTGTTCACATAGCCAGCAGAGACACTTCTAGAATAAAAAATCAGGTGCTTAAAACTTTCCAGTGGCTTTTCATTGCCCAACAACAGAATCCAAACTCCTCACCAGCAGGCTGGCAGCTCCCAGCGAGCCAGCCCTGCCTCCCCCGGCCTGGTGCTCCTTCTTAGCCTCTCCCCGTCACTCACTGGGCTCAACACTGAGGACCTCCTGAACAGCCAGGCTCCACCTTGGGACTTCACAGTGCTCTGCCTCTGCCTGGGACTCTGCTTCCTGACTTTTCATGGCTTCTCCTCATTCAGTCATCAACTTCCGTGGTCAGTTCCTTGGTGAGGCTTCTCAGGCCACCCAGCTAAGGCAGCCTCCTGGGTGCCCGTTATCACAGTACCTTGCTTTCTGTGTTTGCTTAGCCTTTCTCCCCAACAGAAATGGACTTGTTCCCATGTCGGTTGCCCCGTGCACAGCC